GGGAGGATTGGTTGGAGCGCTCTCTACTGCGAGGATCGTGCGTCATACGTTAGACTATTTTTAGTTTGAATTTACACGAAATGGGATTCCCCCCCTAAACGCCGTTCGACCAGTCACGATTCAATAGCGCGTAGTTATAACTTGACTCGTGACTATGTGAGCTCTAGTGGCCTATTTCCCGGGAAAAGATAGTCTCAAAATAAACCATTCTCTGAAAATTCCATGACATAGGCTCAGTTTAAGAGCTGAATGCTCCAACTATAGAGCTCTTGGTTCCAACTTAATGTTTTTTTGGAACCTTAAGGGATGGGGGGGCAGGTACCTTTACTAATAAATTATTTTTTTTCTCCGAGAAAAGTCATACATTAGTTGATAAATCTGTCCAGTAAAGTGGCATCCTGCGGTTCAACCTGAATGCTTCCAAAACAGAAAAATTTCTCACCTTAATACGAACAAGAATTACCGACAGCTTTATGCCAAAATTGCGACAAAGGCAGGCAGCGGGTACTAATTACAACAACAGGCAATTACAGGTACCAGGTGTTTTAGGGACCATTATATTGATTAATTATAGCACTGGGTGAGAGGGTGGAAGGTTTGTGGGGCTCACGTGATTTTTAGGAGTAACTGAGGGGGAATTAGTCGTCGCTAATAGAATATAAAGAGAGCACTATAGAAAATAGACTGGAAATTAACTGTTAATGGAGGGGGGGACCATTGAAAAACTACAGAGCCTTAAGGGGGATCAGATAAATTTTATCATGACGCAATCAAAATCCTCCATAAACCCACCACCTCCCACAGGAGAAAATAGTAGCCGGTCCGTTGGATATGTGCGACCGTTATATTTGCTCGGACCCCAACGATGCCAATGCACTAATTGATTCCTAGACACACACAAAAAAGGTGGATCATGGACAATTTCTGCTTTTACACGTTTGGTGTGATCACCTTCTTCAACCAAGAGATGCTGTTTATAGCATCGCAGGATATTCTCAGCGGACGGAATCTACCCTCAGCTACAATTCTGGTCTGTTATGTAACACCTTTGATGACCACGAAAATTATCGCGCCGTGGTTTGTAGAGAGGATTTCGTACTTATTAAAAGTGTTCTCCATAGTCCTTTGTATGACGCTTGGAATGGCTCTGGTTGTTTTCATGGAAGACATACGACTTAAACTTGTGGGAATTGCTTTAAACGCGATGGCAACTGGAATTTCTGAAGTGGTATTCCTTGCTTTAGCTTCGTTTTATCCTCAGATTTCCATCAGTTCGTTCGTCGCTGGCACTGGTACGGCTGCGTTGATCTCTCCACTTTACTACACGAGTAAGTGAAATCTTCTCAGACTTTGTTCTAAGGGGATGGGCGAAACAATAACAATAATAATAATAATAATAATATCAGTAATGATTACAAACAAGTATAGTGCTACAAGCGTTATTACAAAGTGCGACAAGTCTTATTATGATAATAATAATATGTGATAATAATACGGTATTTAGATGGCGCTATTTCTATCACCATTCAATAGCGCTGTACAGTAGAGTTATAGATCACACCGATAAAATTTATAGAACGTAAAAATCTCTGAAATATGAGTAAAAGAAACTAACTAATAAGGTAATAATCTGAATATATCGACAAAGTTGAAATGGTAAATTGGCCACCGTTACGATTGCAAAAGCTGACGTTTCGAGCGTTAGCCTCTCGGCATTCGCTCCGACGAAGGGCTAACGCTCGAAACGTCAGCTTTTATAATCGTAACGGTGGCCAATTTACCATTTCAACTTTGTTGATATATTCAAATTATTACCTTATTAGTTAGTTTCTTTTACTCATATTTCAGAGATTTTTACGTTCTATAAATTTTATCGGTGTGATCTATAACTCTACTGTACAGCGCTATTGAATGGTGATAGAAATAGCGCCATATAAATACCGTATTATTATCACATATTATTATTATCATAATAAGACTTGTCGCACTTTGTAATAACGCTTGTAGCACTATACTTGTTTGTAATCATTACTGATATTATTATTATTATTATTATT